GTCTTTTTTCTTTTTCTCTCTTTTTTTTCTCTCCTTTCTTCACAAACACACACACACACACACACACCGCGCTGGTGACAATCGTGTGGCTAATGAAGTGCAGGTCAAGAGCTGATGAGCCTATTTTCCGACTCAGGGGGAGAAAGCTTGTGCTTCCCCTCTTCCTCCTCCCCCTCCCCCTCCTCCTCCTCCTCCCCCTCCCCCTCCGCCTCCTCCTCCTCCTCCCCCTCCCCCTCCGCCTCCTCCTCCTCCTCCTCAGCTCCCTACAGTGCCAGCATGTGTGGCCATCTTCTCTCTCTTCTCTCTGTAAAGATGGAAGGGAGGAGCATATGGTAGAAATTATACCAGCTTGGTGCCAATCACACACCTCATACAGTATATAATTATTCTTCTATCTGATGGTACGATGATGGTGATGGTGATGTGTGAGGGAGGAGGGAAGGATTAAAGGGTTCGGAACGGCACTGAAAAAAAAAGAAATCTTTGAAGAAGGCGTACGGAGGTTTGATTAAAAGAGAAACACACCGCTGTCTGTGGTTTTAGCACAGGAAGGTAGATGAGAGAAAATATAAATAGAGGCTCAGCAAATGCAACATCTTGCTGAGCCTCCAACAGCTGTGCAGTAAATATGACTGTGAAAATGTACACGTTGAAGACGAGCAGTTTCAGGGTGACAGGTTTGTGTTTGAGGACCTCACGGTGTGGAATTTCCACTCCGGTCGACCAGGACCTGTTCAGAAACAGAATTTCTCGTCTTAGGAACAAAGATTTTCTTGTTTTTAATTGGGACTGGTTAGAAAGTGACACCAGGTTCTCATTATTTTGAGGGAAAGCTCGACACTACACTAACAGATAGATAGAAAACTTTGGGGCTTCAAGTACGCAGTACTACTTTGTTACTGTGAGGGGGCTATACTGCACATGCAGTTTAAATGCTCAGGTCGGAGACCAAAATATGAGGTTTTTGCAAATGTGTTTCCCACAAATATACGTAGGTCTGTAAGTGGGCTACAAGTTTGTTTTTTTTAAACCACGTGAATGGTATTTAGTGTTAGCCACAAGCTACGAGGAGCGAAGGTAATGTTCCTGAACGCATTCACACCAAACTTTGTTCAGGTGCCATTTTTGGGCTCATGAAACCACAGGTGAACATCTTTGTTTTTCTTCAAGTCTGGCATGTCCAAAGTCTGGCCCGGGGGCCAATTCTGGTCCCTGGTCAATTTTTTTTTTTTTTTTATTTTTTTATCACCTGCAGCCTTAGTCATAAAACACATCACATGTGGTCCACCAGTACACGCAGTACACACGCATTTCTGATTCCTAGGTGTTACTTCATCAAATGTGGTCGTCAGATACAGTGTGAAAGGCAGAGTGGTTTTGGTAAGACCTGTTTAGACTCGTCGTCCATGTCATCAAATTTAAAATATGCTATTTGCAATAAGATTTCCATAAAAATATTTAATTTGCATTTAATGGTTCAAAAAATTGTTTGGACACCCATGGCTTAAGGAGACATTAAAGAAATCTAATTTACAATAGTCAGTTTCAGCCAATGAGCTCATCTTAACTACTTTTAGTTCCCCATAATACATGACTGATTACAATTCTATTATACGGTGGATCCTCAAATTAAATAAGTCTTCCTGTCATTACACCTGTTCAGTTTAGGCAAAAAACTTTTCTCCACCTAGTCGAGACCAAACCTGGTCTCTGTCCTTCCATTCAGTTTTTGGCCCCTGCAGTGACAGAAACCCACAAAGGCACTGGTACTGTTTCTAGTTACTGCTCGTTAATGCTGCCAACAAACGCTCCTTTTTTTTTTTTTTCAAGTTGTACTTTAAAACCGAACGATCTGAAGAAGCGTCGCACGCTTGTTCCTCTGAGCGCAGGAGGAGACAGAAGCCGTCGCTGGACGACCCTCGCTCCCCGTCCTCCTCTGTTCCTTCCCTTCTTCCCTTCACCTGCTTCTCCTCTTTCTCTCTTAATTATTTAGTCCTGTGTCGTCTCTGCCTCTACATGGGAAATGAGCAGGAAATGGGAAGGAAA